GTGAGGGCCACCTAGAAGCTTACGCTGAAGCAGAGGGTTCTAGACTTCCCGCACAGGGAGAGCCGGGCCGTCAGGATGGCTTGAAAATGGCGGCCCCTGGTTTGGGTAGAGCAGTGCAGGGTGGATGTTTCGGATGGTCTGGAATCTCTCATGGTTGAAAGGCCGAATGAGAGTCAGTGGGGGCTGATGGGGGTTGGTGCGCGCGCCCGGGCTTCCTGCGCCTGAGCCGTCTCACAGGCCCTGGATGGTGTCACTCCAATTAGCAGCCATCAGTGTGAAAGGTTGCATCAGAGAGAGAGAGAGGAGGAAGTGGACCCCAGGAGGGTAATTTTGGTTGCTGTTTGCCTCTCTTCAGTTCCTCTTTCAGAGGCTAATTGGATTTGTTTGCTTTACCTCTGGGCCCTCTGAGGATGCCGGGGCATCCCCTGGAGGAGGTCCCTTTGTCCTCAGGTGGCCTCTTAAGTGTCAAAGTTGGCGCTCAAACAGATGTGTGTAACAGGTCGCCTAGAAAGGTTGTTACTATTGCACGTACTAGGAGATCTGGGTGCAGGAGATCGAGGGTGTGGCCTGAGCATCTGCATGTTTATTAAGTGCCTCTTCCAACCAGGTAATCGGGCTGCAGGTAACCAGGGAGCCTTCCTTTGAGCAACTCTGGCCATCGAGGTTGAGAAATCTGGTTTCTGGTTCGGGATCCACCAAGAACAACAGCGACAAGCTCAGTAACGCATGTAGACATGTGGGATGTGGTGGGCACAGCTTTGGTCAAATGCAGAATCTAAGACAGCAACACCTAGCCTGTGCCTCGCGCGTGGAAACGGCTCGAGAAACTACAGGGTCTAGTGTCCCTAACCTTGCTGGCTGAAATTTACTGAGCCAAATACACGTTTCGTGAGTTCTCCCGGGGAAGCCTCGAAACAGCCCATGAGGTGGGTCTGTGAACCGTTGCAGCGTCCAGATGGGGCACCAGGCTTAGAGAAGCCCCACGCGGGGATCCCCTGAGCTGGGACCAAGGGCTCACCTGCGCTGGGCCTGCCCCTTGAGGGCGCTGAGTGCCGAGCATCCATTCCTCTGCCTCTAAAGCGGCGTTAATAGCATCCTCCTCTGCGCTCCGGTAGGGCTGTCACCAAAGGGTTTAAAAAGACAACGAATGAGAAAATGTTCTGAAAAGGGCTAAGCAAGAAAAAGTGGCATTTTGAAAGTTGATGGTGCTAAAGAGTCATTTCTGGAACGGTTACCACGTGCTGGGCACTGGCTGAGAGCTTTTGTCTTATATTAGATGTTTTCTTATTGTGATAAAATACACATAACAAAATGTGGCATTTGACCCACGTTAAGGTGTACAGTTCCGTGGCATGGAGGAACTCGTGATGCGCTGCCACCACCACCATCTAGTTCCAGAGCTTGTCCGTCCCCCCCCCCAAAGAAACCCCATACTCCTTGGCCCTTACTCCCCAGACCCTGGCAACCACTCGTCTGTTTTCTGTCTCAACGGATTCACCCATTCTGAACAGTTTGTATCCATGGGATCCCAGAAGAGTTGTCCCTTTGTGTCTGGCTCCTTGCATTTAGCATCACATGTTCAAGGTTCATCCACGGTGTAGCCTGGATCGTGCTTTGTCCCTTCTCATGGCTGAATCGTATTTCTCTACAGGTCCGTCCATCCATGCATCGATGGATATCTAGATTATCGATATTTGCTATTTCACCAAGTGTGTACTGCCCGTACCCGTGTTTACACGTGGTATGTTCTGTCATACTGCTCATACCAGACCCAGGAGGGCAGGAACAGGTAGGGTTTTCCCAAGGAGGCATCTGTGATTCAGAGAGGTGAAGTGACTTGCTCAGGGTCACACAGCAGGGAGGTGGCAGATACAAGACGCGAAACTGGGTCTTTCTGACCACAGAGCCCAAGCTGCAGTAAACTGGGAATTCTCCTTTGGCTCCCGGGTCCTGCATTATCCTGCAATGGGGGGGGGGGGGGGCCCATTGGAATCCTTAGGGTTTTTTGGTTTTTTTTTTAAATCTCTGCTGGGATCCTCCCCTCAGAGCATTGAAGTCGGAACCTCTGGAACAGTGGTTCTCAACCAGGGACGATTTTGGCCCCCTCCTCCCCAGGGGCCACCCAGCTTTATGACTAGAGGCAATTCTGGTTGTCCACAGGGGAGGGGTGGGTGGAGGCCAGGGATGCTGCTGAACATCCTGCCGTGCACAGGATGGCCCCGCATCAAAGGCTGCTCCAGCCCCATGGCAATCGCACCCAGGCTGAGAACCCCTGCTCTAGGATTAGGGCCTGGGTGTCAGTATTCTCTAAACTTCCTGGCTCCTTCTGATGTGCCCTCAGGGCCAAGAGTGCCTCTCAGACTTGCTAGTGCATAACAACCGCGTGGATTCCTTGTTCCACTGCAGCCTTGGGTTCGGTGGGTCTGGGGTGGGGCCCGAGGCTCTGCATTTCTGACAAGCTCTCAGTGATTCTGGTGCCCCCAGCCTTCACCTCGTGTTCGGGACTGGAGAAGAGACAAAAGTACAGGGAGCTGGGCTGGACTCCCGTCCTCTCTCTTTAAATTGTTGCTTAAAAAAGAGGGTTTTCCTTCAGATAAGGAGAAGGTGTGGGAAATGCAACTGCAGCTGAGGGAGAAAAAGGTGTTTGCTTGAAACTTCGAGGCTTTGCAGGGAGACACAGTGAAACTGCTCCAGGAAGGAGCCCGTTGTGTTCACAGCAATGCACGGTGATTCACAGAGCAGCCGTCCGGGCCAGCCTCCCACCCAGTGCTGAGAGTCACGGCCACGGCTGGCTCATCCAGCAGTGATGACTCAGGCTTTCCACCTGCAAAATGGGAGGGATGGCTCCAGCCGCCTCCCCACCCATTCCTGGGGCCAGAAGCCCCCAGCTGCCCCCTAGACTCATCAAAGGCAGATCTTAAAAGTCAGGACCTGCTTTTCCAGGCAATGCAACTGCTGTTTTCACTGCTAATAAATCTCCATTTGTGGCAGCTCAATTAGGAAGTCATACAAAACTCTTATATTGAAAGAAGGGATTAATAACCCGACCCATGTGGGAGAAATTAGCAGCTTCTGCAGAGAGGCCTTTTTACTATGTACTCTTAACTGGCAGCCCTTTGGAACAACACTGGCTAGCTGGGCCCTGGGCTGAGCCGGGCATGGGGCGAAACCAGCAGGGGATCGTTGTGAGTCATTGGGTTGCACTTTCAACGTGAGGTGTCCGGGAGCCTCTGGCTGGTCCACGGTGGACTCCTGAAGTGTTGCCAAGGGCATGGTTGCTCCTGAAGGAGCCGGTTTCAGGAGAGATGGAGGGGGTTGCTTGGCCACCTGGAGGTGCCGGCTGGCCGGGAGGGAAGGGTTAGGTTTGGGCCTCAGGCCTCGTGCGGCCGCTGCCTGCCATAGCTCCCGGATGGGGAGGGCCTCGGGCCCCTGGCACAGAAAGGGCTGGCCCTCGGCCCAGTTCTTGGGCTTGGGAGGGACGCCAGGAGCTGGGGCTGACTCACGAGGGGAGGACCAGCCTCTGCGGCCCACGCTGCTAAGGCGAGGCCTGAGCAGATGGGTCCCTCTCGCTGGCGGGGACGTGTTCCTCACCCTGCCTAGGAAAGGTGGCTGAAGAGGGTCTTCACTCTTTCCTGTAGCCTGACCTTCCAAAAAATCGGTGGCTGGCTGGAATGACCAAGGGATGGGACTCTGGAGCTGGACAAACCAGCTTCTGAGGATTCAAATCTAAGTCCTACCACACACCCTTGGCCAAGGGGTGACCTGACTTCTCTTAGCTTGAGTTTTCTCCCTAGGCAAATGTGAATAATTTTAATACTTCCTCCAAAAGTTGCTATGAGCATCTCCTTGAGTAGATCATCGTGGCTCAGTGCTTAGCATAGGACTGTCCTGTTTCTCCATCTTTCATTTATCATAGACACAGGGGAGGATATAGGTATATGTAGAGAGATCGATAGGTGGGTATATGTATGTATTAAGATATATTGAGGTAGATCCACATCTACCTCCATCCATCAATCCTTGCATCAGTCCATCCATCCTGAGTACCCCCTACTAGGTCCGAGGCACTGTTCCTGGCCCTGGGCTTATAGCAGTACACAAAGCTCCTTCCTGGGGCTTACATTCTAGTGGGGAGAGATTTGAAAGACAGGTGAACTAATAATTCAAGATAAAGGGGAGAGGAAGAGAGAGACACACAGACAGGGCGGGGACTGCTGTTTTAAACCTCAAGGCGGGAGGATGGAGGGATGGGGTAAGGAAGCCTCTCGGAGAAGGGGGTGGCAGAGGAGAAACCTACAGGAAGTGAGGAGGGGAGCCACACAGGTAATCAGGAAGAACTTTCCAGAGAGGGGGACTAGAAAGTGCAAGCGCTCAAAGATAGGAGTATGCTGGGTGTGTTTGAGAGACATTGAGAACATTCTAGAAGATTGGCTGGAACACAGTGAGTCGAGGCAGTGGGGTGGGGGTGGGGGTGTCCTAGAAAATGAGGTCAGAGAGGTGATGGGACAAGATCATGCTGTTTCGAAGACCCAGTTTAGGATTGCCAGTGAATTCCTAAGCGAGTACGTCTAAACCCTGCAGGAGCTGGGTCCTAGCGTTTAGCAGGTATGATCCCTCACGTGTTTGTTGACATCAGTGCACGAGGAGACAGTACTCTCTGGCAAAGGGACTCTTATGCAAAAGTTGATTTGCCCTTTTATAAAATAAAGATCAAATCTCATTCGCTTTGCCTCCCTGTAAAGAGAACAGGCATCTATCCCTTGATTCACGAGAACAAACCGTGCTGTTAGAAGCAAACTAGCCCAAGTGACTTAGGGCACTTTTGCAGGAACGTGGCATTTCCAGAGTTCGCAGTTGCCGGGGCCGATGGCTCCATGTTTGCCATGACAACAGGTAACAAAGTGGGGGCAGAGCGTGTCTGGTTGCCGTGAAAGCAGAAAGCCCCTTTTGAGCGGACTTCTCCCGGCCATCCCAGTGACTTCTCTTTCTCTGGCCCTCAGCCCAGCGGTCTGCCCACGAGCTACCCATGGTGGAGAGACAAGACATCGACAGCTGCCTGGTTTACGGGGGCCAGCAGATGATCCTCACCGGACAGAACTTCACGGCCGAGTCCAAAGTCGTGTTTACTGAGAAGACCACAGGTCAGGGGGCTTTTTGAGCTCTTTCATTGTCTGCCAGCACCGTACCAAAGCACCACCTTTTTTCCTTCCAAACGGCACTGATTGGGGGGATCAGTTCTGTCGGGTAGGGCTTTCTAGTCTGCTCTTTTTACTCACGATGAGAAGCTTCCCAGACCTCCAGCAACTGATGTCGCTACAGTTCATGGTGGGTGAGTGTACCATCATGTGTCTTAGCTGGTCCTGGGTTGTTTCATTGGATGATGAGGTTGACCCCCACCCCAAACTCTTTTTATTTTTTTAAACTATTTTTTTTTTTTTTACATAGGCAAAACTTTTCAACTTTTTACTATTATCCAAAAGGGAGGCCGTTCAACACGGCAAGTAAGTTTGCTCTGGCCCTGGGTCTCCTGGGTGCAGAGGCCCGGTTTGCCACTTGCTTGTTCTGTGATCTTAGACGCATTACCTCCCCTTCTGTGTCTTCATTTCCTTATGTACAGAACGATAATAACAAAGGTTCTTGCCCCACAGTGTTGTCAGGAAGGCTAACTAGGTTAATACATGTTGAGTAGTTATAAGAGCGCTGGGTTTCTCAGAGGCCAATAAACATAAACTACTTATAATTTTATGACAAATTGTGCTGCAATGAATCTTCTAATACTTGTAGGATTAATTAATCTTGATACATGAGTGTCTGTCGTTGTGTACTCAGGGTTTATTCCTAAAGTGGGATTTTGGATAGTCATTTCAAGAGCTTTAATCACGTTCCAGAAATCTACAAATTGAAACTTCCATCAATACCATGTCAGGAATGGTTTCACCCCATCCCAGAAGTGCCATTTTTTTTAAAAATTAAAAAATACTTGCTGAATTGGTACTTCTCTTTACTACACACTCCTTTGCTATGACCGGTTTAATGCTTCTGTTTATTGGCCATGTGTATTCTTTCTTCCATACACTGTCTGTCAATATCTTTTGCCAATGAGGACATGGTAAGAAGAGAATGATGTAAAGTAGGATAAATTTCAAGTTATGTAATTATTTGATAGTTATGGATGCTAGACCAATTTTTTTCTCTAATGGACCTGATTTCAGTAAGTTAATTCTAAGAGGATATTCATATTTGTTTGTTTACTGTCCTTAGGATGATATGGAGACTGTAATAGGCAGGTTGTCCAGTTGTGAGGATTGTGCCCTGCACAGGGGCACCTCCTCTAGGGACTACCTTTCAAATGGGGTACATCATCAATTTGTGTTTTAATAAGACAGCTGCTGGCAGGAGGAAGCAGGGTGTCTTGGGGAAGAGGTGTTTCTTCTCAATTCACACAACGCCTCCTCTTGGGCTGGGCTGGCTCTGTGACCAGGCATGGCATTAAGGAAGGCTGTGGCAGTGGGGGCTGGAGATGGATGGGTGAATTTGGGAGTGGTTTAAAGGGTATGTGGTCAGTCACTGTGGATTTGAGGGACAGTGGTGGTGTAGTGAGGGGTTTGGGATGCAGACATTTACATGGATGCATTGCATTCTATCATATATTTGTCTAGTATTTTAGTTAGCCATTACCTTTTTTTTTTTTACACCTTTGGCTGCTCCCAGCTTTGTGCTATTACAAGTAACTCAGTGATCAACATTCTCTACATCCCTTTTGTCAGCTAGATAAGGGCTCATGCTCTTCAGCCAAAACCCAGCTCCACTGTTTTCTAGCTGTGTGACCATGGGCAGGTTATTTAACCTCTCTGGGCAGTAGTTTTCTCGTCTGTATGCTGAGGATGATGACAGTCCTACCTCATTGGGTGGTCATAGGATTAAGAATTTCTACATGTTAAGTACTTATAAAATGCTTGGGATATAGTGCTCAATATACATTAACTAATGCTATCTGGTATTATTTCCTAGGGTTAAGGCCTACCTATGGTGTAGTGGCTTCATGGAGGCATGCACAATTTTAAGCATCTTGTGGGGAGGCTTACTTTTCAGATGGTGGAACAGTGTAAAATACTCTCTACTGCAGGAATTTTCTAGGCTTTTGTAAATCAGAGAGCAAACCGATGCGGCTGGCACATTGTGATAAGCAGGCCGAGGTGAGGACAGAGAGGTTTCCCTGTGCCAGGTAGAGGAAAACTCAGAGTCTGTTTCAACTTGGAAAAGTTGTGTATTAATAAGGAAGAAGGAGTAATTAAGGAATTAATTAATAATTAAGGGATTACTAAGGAATCATAATAGCGACTGTCTGTGCTCTTTGATGGTCACTGTCCATGGGGACTGTCTCCTCTAAGCCGGGGCCCGTGGGAGGCAGCCAGCCGAGCATGGAGAAGTGAGGGGGCTCACCCACAGGTAACACCCAGCATTGTCCTCATGTCCAACCTCCCTGGGCCTCAGTTTCCCTCTCTGTGAAATGAGGTACTAATGCCCCCCACCCCCCCGAGTTAAATGGAGTGCACACATAGGCGGTGTGCACTTAGGGCCCAGGGACTGCTCACTGAATGTATGATATTGTCTTTTTTTTTTTTTTTTTTTAAAGATTTTATTTATTTGACAGAGACACAGCGAGAGAGGGAACACAAGCAGGGGGAGTGGGAGAGGGAGAAGCAGGCTTCCCGCGGAGCAGGGAGCCCAATGCGGGGCTCGATCCCAGGACCCTGGGATCATGACCTGAGCCAAAGGCAGATGCTTAACAACTCAGCCACCCAGGTGCCCCTGCTATTGTCTTTATGGTCAGAATTCTCATTGCTCAGGCTGTCGGCCTCATTGACTCGATGGTTGCAAGCATGGCTCTGAGCTCAGAAGGCCTGGGTGCGAATCCATGATGTGCATATAGTAGCTTCGGCATCCTGGGTAAGTTACTTCACCTGTCTGAACCAGTGTTTCCTCTTTTGTAAAATACAGGGGATTTGCTTCTCTTAAGAGAAGAGGAGATGACACGAGTTGGGGGTGCAGATGAGTCTTTTTGCCTAGATCCTAGCACATTGTAGATGCTCATGAAACATTAGTTTTTACTGTTATTATTTTTAGGCTGTGGAAGAACAAAGATGAGTAAAATTTTATCTCATGGAACCAGGGGGACGTTGAAAAACAATAAGTAATAATAATGAACTATGTGTCAGGCCTCGTTCTAAGCGCTTGATGTGTATTAACTAATCTGATTCCTCATGACAATCCTACCAGAGAGCTTCTCTTCTCCTAACTTTCCTAATGAGAGACCGAGCACAGAGAGGTTAAGTAACTTAGTGAAGCTCACACAGCTGGTCAATGGTGGTGCTGGGTTCGACCCCAGGCAGCCTGCCTGGCTCAAGAGTCTGCACCCTTGACCGTGAGCTCTTCTGTTCTGAGGAAGCTCAGAACCAGGTTAATTTGACCGAAGACCCTTCAGCTGCTTTGAGCCACTGACGTGAACCATTTTGTGGTGAAACAGACCCTTGGATTTTGTGGTGGGGTCACCGGGTTCGAGAGGACCCGTTCAGAGCCGTTTTGTGCCTAGCTTAAGGAATCCTGGGCAAACGGGGCTTCTGGATTGATGCCAGTAGAAAAGCAGGGGTCACAGAGATGCGCCTCACCCCCAGAGAAGTGGTGGGCTTCCCTCACGGGATGTCTGGCTCCTCGGGGCCCCGACAGACAGGGGGCTCGTCTTGCATTTGCAGGGAGCTGGTCCTGCTCTTTTGACCCCAAGCACTCGCCTCCCCGCCCGGGACTGCCTTCTGCAGGGGGAATCCCTGTTGCCCAACTTCGTTTTTCCAAAACGCATCCCCGTTCCCATCTCCATGGATAGCTGGGCTGGCGAGGGCGGCGGGGCGGGGCGGGGTGGAACGGGCCGAAGTTTTCCAAGGAAGGGGAACCCCAGCTGTTTCTCACATTAAGGCAAGGTGACAGCCTCCTGGGCTAATCTTAGCCCCCACGTTGGGTCATCGGCACCACCAGCTCCAACGTTCTTTTTATAGCTGTCGGCTGAAATGGGATTGGCAGCTTCCACTCCAGCAGGATGACAAATTGGAGAGCGATGGAAAAACAGTAGGAGAGGGGCAGCATGGTGTTTCTTAAGTTAGAAAAGCTTGGTATTTTGGAAAATGGCGTCTTATTTATAGCAGCAGTAATAATAATCACTATTATATTATTTTTATTACTATTTTTAATTATTTTCCTGACTTCCAGGAGCCTGTATGATCTGGCCCTTGCCCATCCCTCTGAATTCAGCATTTTGGACTGTCCCCTTGCTCACTTGGCTGTAGGTACACCTATCTTCACTCTGTCCTCAAGCACCCCATGCTGGTTTCTGCCTCTGGACCTTTGCTTTTGCTGTCCCCTCTTAGGATGTCCTTCCACCATTTCTTGACGAGGCTGCATCCTCCTGTGTCTTCAAGGCTCAGCGCAGAGGTGAATTTCTCAACAAGCCCCTCCTTGCCCATCTGCTCAGAAGTTGTTCAACATCCTCTCCCGCCCAGAACCCTGTCACGTTCTGTCCCATCGTCACCTCGCACTGCTGAAATTATCTTGCCTGTTGGTTTATTCATTTCTTATCTGGTCTCCCACACTAGACTCTTAGTTCCTTGAGGGTGGGGACTCGGTGTTTGCTGCTGTATCCGCAGCATCTACAACAATCCCTGGCACCTAGTGGGTGTTTACTCATACTGTTGAATGGGTGTCTTCTCCTTTAATTGTCACATCGGCCCCAAGAGGCAGGTGACATGGTCCCCATTTACAGTTGGGGTAACTGAGGCACGTACAGGTCAAGCCACAGGCCCCAGGTCAGCCCGTAGCTGATGACAGAGCTGGAAACCCAAGCGGTGTTTATCATCAACACCCCCTGCCTCCCAAGGAAGCTCTCTAGTCACGTCCACGAGGACAAAGAGAAACCAAACAGGATGATCCGGGTCTTTCCTATTTACCCATCCTCAGTAATTGCCTAAAAGCCTTCATATATTCTCTGAAATTTTAAAAATGTGTAACCTTCCAGGCAAAGTTCAGGCGGAGAAGTCCAGGCTGTTCCTGACTTCAGCTGGTAACCCTGGCCCCCGGCCACCCAGGCCTCAGG